CCTCAAAACCACAGCTACATCGCTCCTCTGCAGCTGTGACTAAAGCCCAGCCTTCTCCCATAGTACAGAAGAACTGTTTCTGGTCAGATGAGACCAAAATAGAAATGTTCAAAACAATAGCATCACACTATGAGGATGCTTTTCTTGATCCTAGCTGACGGGAAGATGAATGGAGCCAAATACAGGAGGGAATCATGAAACAATGTCATCGTTCAGAACTTTGCCTTCTGCTTGCTGATTGGCCCAAATAATTAATCCTGAAAAAAATCAATCTTTATGGGAGAAATCCCAGACAGAGAACTAAGGGGATATGAGAATCAAGCAGAATTGCACAGGAAGGCAATGGGCAAGATAAGCCAGAACCAAGGTCTTAGAGAATCTGACAAGACCTTAAAATTGCCACTCGTCAAAACTTTCCATCCAACCTGACTGAACCTGAAATACTTTCGGAATCATATCACTAAATATGAAGAAAAGGTAATTTGAGCACCAAGTGAAGCCAACTGCCTGAAGTGTTCTCTAACTAATCGGGTTGCAAGAGGATGCTTGGCTGGCTTTGTGGCAGTGAATGACCACAACCACCTCACAGTTCATGAAAGCTTCCATTCACCTCCATTCACACTATCCTCCAGCCAGAGCAAGACTTCCCCAGTGAAAACAAGCCCCGCTGAAAGGGAAAACAATCGTCCCTTCCCAACAAATTCCTTCTAATTTGCCAGAGCCATAGAGGCGGGACAGGAGGAAGAGGAGTGAAGGATGTCTGGCCGCCCAGCTGCTGAAGTCTGTGTGCATTCGTGCGTGTGACTGTCCTCAGCCTTGAGTGTGCCTCAAAGGTGCCAGATACTCCTGCAGACCCAGCTTTGACACATCCTCAATGCTGTTCTGGGGTTCTCACTCAAACACACAGCCACCCCCTCTCTGTCACACACCTCCTCATCAAATATAAGTATTTGTTCCTGAGCACTTTTCTCATTTTCCCTATTTTCTTTATTGTGTGTCTGAAAGTGGATCCAAGTTGCCGTGTCGAAGGAGCGTTTTCATCCCGTTTCATTAATCAAACCTCCTGGTTTACGTGCAAATGGCTCGTAAATGTGTGTGGACTCAACACGCGACGCATTATGACTCAGATGGTAATTTCACTTTCCATATTTATTTTTCTGCCTTATTAGAAATAGTGGCGCTCCTTCAGCAAACTTGTGCAGAGGCAAGTTTGTTTCGGCTCACCGCGGAGGAAACCGAGGAGAGAAACCCTGTGTCGGAAGGCGCTCTTGGCGATACATTCATTCATTAATTATGTTTATGCTCCGGTTACAGTAGCCGACTTGTCTGAGCGATTGGCAGGTGGGTCTCGTCTTCGACACTCTGGACACCGGTGTTTGCTTGTGTGAGCCATAGCTGAGGTGTTGCAGGACGTGAGGCAGAAAAAAAAAAATCGAAGGCTCTGACATGCGAGGACATGTTTCAAAGTCTGAGATGATGATTTTGGAAGAAATTTTTGCTTTTCGGTTTGCTGGTTCTCACCGATTTGTTTGTGGAATGAATCAAAACAAATCCTGAACCAACAGCTACAGTCTTCATCTGAGTTTTTATCAGAGTTGGCTTTTACCAAATCTGACTAGAATCCAGTAAGATTAAGTCTCATAAAGTGTGTTTTATAATCAATTGTATGATGTATGGAATTGCAGGTATTGTTTCATTTCGCAGTTACATATCAATGTTGAGGTTCCTTAAGGCTCCGTTCTCGTCCCTCTTGTGGAGATTATAGACCAGCAAAAGTTCTATGCTGATGACACACAACTTGACATCCGTCTCTAAGAACTGTTTTTACAATCACTTAATCACTTTGCCCATTAAATCAATGAAATCCTACAGCTCAACGCCAAAAGAAATCATTGTTTTAGTTTCTAAAGATGTTGACAAGAAAAAAGATCAGGACTTAAATCTAGTCTGATCAGACCTTGCTGTGTTTCACTCTGGGTTTGAAGAAGTTTACAGCTGAAACAGGAAATGTGCGGCAGCACATCTTCACAGCTGGAATGGAATTATGGGTAACAAAGCAAAGATGTGGAAGAAGGTAGAATGTCTTTCACCCAGAAATGGTTTGTGGCGAGATTTTCCTTGAATATTCTTACTGTAGTTGTCATTCTGTTCCTGTTCTGCTCGTTAGTCGGTTGTTACTGGACTTTTGACCTCTATCTCCCAGAGAGCATAAAGTGTTTGGAAATGTTGTCAGACAGCTTGAGGACACTGACACAAGGTAGGAATATTAATCTACAAAATAAATGGAGACTGCTGCTACACTTGGCAGTGCTATTGCAGCTAACCACTGAAAAACAAACTAAAGGGTAAAAACATTAAAAAAGTCACCTTATTTCCTTCATTGATGTGGTAACCTTATATTTCATTGAGCTCTTTCGTGTTGCTCAATATCTCACATGTGCATGCTCTGATGTAACCATTGCTCATCGTAGTTAATGACATTCATGTTCCTGGCAGAAAGGCGTGATGTTCTGGGGTCTGCTGTGCCCTCCACCCCTTCTTTCACTGTCGGTTTTAGGGCCCATTTGTAATCAGTTTATGCACATTAATAGAGCTAGCCTGTATCTAATGTTGCCAGATGACACTGTCCTCATGCTTCCAATGCATTCATTTAGTTGGAATGGTTGCTAGGCAATGCAGCTGAAGGTGGAGGTGGTTTGTGTGGCTATTGAACACAACATGTGAACGGAGAAGTTTCATCACTTATGCAAACATCTTCTTCTTCACTCCTTTTGCTCATCACACGTAATCTACACAGCAACACAATAACTTCCTCTGTATGCATATTAACATGAAGGCATCAATGGGCCTTTCAACTTCGATAAGGATAACAGGGACAGGAATATAAACTTCAAAGCATCAGCTTGATGTTTGTGAAATTATCCATCATGTGAACAAAAGAGTTGAAGTTATGATTCACAAACTGCAGCAGAACAGAACCTGTGTGTCTGTAACAGTCAAAGATGAAGTAAAAGTGTTTGGGTTCAGAACATCATGTAGTGTTAGATCTCTGGATCTTACTGGAACCCAAAAATTCTGGAACCAACATCTCTAAATTGGACCCCCGCCAGACAAAATCAAAACAAAAATCAAAGTTGGCAACAATTTGCCAGATATTAAAATGGCCTCCAAAAAATCCTCTCTTCCTGTCGTTTTATCAAAGGTAAAATTCAGAAGAATATGTCATGTCATGCAGCTTTATCTATCATAAGCTCATATGAATATTTACAACGGAGTGTTAGGGCCATGCTAAGAAAATAAAACCCTAAAATTATGAGAATAAAGTCATAGTATTACAAGAAAAGTCATATATTATGACTATTTTTGACATATTAGGACTTTATTCTCATTATATTGCAATTATATTCTTATAATATTATTACTTTATTCTCTTAATTTAATTTTCTTATTTTATTTTTCTTTGTATTTCCCATCATCAATATGAACCAAATTCTTAATCAATATAATCAATAAATCTTTAAAATATGTGAATAGATTCCAATATTTCAAGTCTCAGAGGCTGAAACTGCAGTAACCATGAATATTGTTTTTAAAATCCAGACAAATTAAATAAGTCACTATGCACAACTTCAGGTACTCACTGGAGAACATTTGCTCTGGATTAATTCAACACATCCATCAGCACCCCCCCCTCCACCCCCTCTCTGTAGTGGCAGTAGCCCCCCTGCTGACACCTAACCCAGAGCTCTGCTACCATAACATTTCCACAGAGGTCACAGGAAGCACAACAACAGCTCCACATGAACAACACGCACAATTACTGTTCACCAGTGACGGCCTCCTTCCTCTTTCTAATCCTTAGTGCATTTGACTGATTTAAAGTAACCAGTGTAATTCAAATTGTATACCAACCAAGTACCACCTCAGTAAAGACTATCACCATATTGACTAGGCGCTTTCAATGGTAGCATCAGAACAACCAAAATTGGACAATTTTAATATCTTGTGTTTGGTTACAAAAATGAAAATAAATATATACTGAAGACAAAAAGAAGGCAGTGGAAGATCATGGCATGTTTGTTTTTTTTAATGACTTATTGCGTGAACAAACTTTCTCACGTGTGATTTTAATTGTGTTTTTCTATTGGAAACACTGCAAATGCAAAATTGTAGGGTTTTTTTTTACACTAGTGGAACATTGATAAAGTTTTGCGCAAATTAGCAATGGAAACTCAGCAATACACAGGGATCTTTGTGATTTACATTTTGCCTTTTTTAAAGTTTTGACTGTAGTCTGTATGTTAGACATCTTTAAAAAAAAAAAAAAAAATATATATATATATATATATATATATATATATATATATATATATATATCTTCAATCTAGCTCTCCTTCCTCTCTCAAATTAGATGTTTGAGGCTGTTTGCGTTGGCCCAGATCTTCCCAAACATTAAGAATACACAGTACTCCTTAGTTGAGGACCAGGAGTTCTGATTATCTCTCCTCCAGGGGAAAAAGACTTGGTTGAAAACATCTTACCATCCATCATCACTTCCCTCCTGCTGTCTTGCCAAGGAACACCTTTTCCAGTGTACATAGTTCCATAATGAATACAAAGTCTTTTATTGAGTTCTTTTTCATGCGCAGTGTACACATATATGAATCACTTAATCACTTACCAATAAATGCACAATTTAATCTGGGCAACTCCATGTGTTTAGCTCCAAGACATGTTTCAAATTAGTCATAGAAGTTGCAGCAGATAGCTGCAGCCAGAGTTTTTTGCAGAGAAAAAAAATTGCTGTTCCTCTACCACCCCTTCAGACAGACAACACAAACGAATTCTACCTCTACGTTTTGTGCTACAGAAAAAAATCCTAAAACCAAAATCCAAACCCACACCAGAGGATGGCTCTTAAATAAAAAAAAAGTGAGGAAAGGACAAGAATCCATACTGACGCTTTTACAGATTTATGCATAAAAACTATTGGCTAACAGAAGAAAGTGAAGCTAATTGGTTCCGACAAACTGGATGTGTCCTGATGAGCCCGGGCTGAAGAACAGCAGATAACCAAACTGAGGCAAAAATACATCTGATTATGATAAAACAGACACATCACTGAGGTGAAGCAAAATGTCAGGAAAGAAACCCAGACCTGAAACCATGAATCTATCCCAGGATAGACGGGGCATGGCGTCATGGAGGCGGAAAGAAGTCCAACAGCACTCCTCCATGTCAACAATGTATCAACACCGAGCCAGATTACTTCCTTCTGAAACTGATTGTTTTGGCCGATGGGTTAAGAATCAGTTCATGATAGCAGGCAGAACTTTCCTCTCGATATCCATTTCCACAGCTGTCACAGGTTCTGCATGTTCCTCCAGACTGAACAGGTGTAAACCAGTCAGTGAGGGACTGCTGGACTTGATCCACCGACAGTATGTCGCCTTGCTTCAGATCAATATTCACAAGCTTTGATGATTTCCAGAGTTGAGGGCTCGACGCATGCATAGTTACGAGCTCCGTCTCATTTAATTTACTACAAAACTTGTGCGATGAGGCGACAATCTCTCGCTCTTCTTCAGCCAAGCAACCAGCAACATTTGTGGGTGTAAAAAATTCAAGTTCGAACATGCAAGATGTTCAACTTTACTTTAAGTCAGATGCTAAAATCTCACGGCACAAAATGTTGCTAGTAGAGGTGTGCAACAAAACTTGTTATTGATGGAAAACCAAATAAACAAGGTCCTTAATGCCAAAGCTAAGATGTTTGATAATATGTCAAACTTTAAGAAAAAAGTACAAATGTTTTTATGGCTTTTCCTTTGAATTATTTAGTTCCAACCAAAAAACTGAATTTGGGCAAAGCTTATAGGTGTTTGCAAAATACTTTAAAACCATATGAACATGATGGCTTGTGTGCACTTCTTCCTAAATAAAGTGAAACAAACAAATTTGAGAAAAAGTCAAAACAAAATCCTATTTGATGTAGAGTGGCGAAAAATAAAATAAAACTGAAACTTAAGGTACAGATCTTACACCACGCTGGAATCGGTTCAATACCGAACCGATATATTTTAATATATTAAAATCGTATTATATTTTAATATAAGATGGCAATTGATGAATGCTGAAAGGCTTCCATATTAAAGTGCCAGTACTAAGTAAAATCGACTTATTTTAGCTTTACATTGTCATAATGTTAATTCCTCATCAAAAGCATACATTCTTTCATGCATGTTTAAAGAATTTCTCAATCTCCATGGCAACCATTCAACTGTGCAAAACACCTGGGCGGACCAAGCCCCGCCTTCCATGACAAAGCTCCTTCTTAAAGGTGCAGTTTCCAAGGTTCTGAGTTTCTGCCTCACGGATTAGCCTTTCCCCAGAACTCCCTCACTCAGCTCCTTCAAACTAGCCAGCAGCAATTAGCAAACACCTGGTGGAACTGCATCTGCTAGGAGCTACTTCTCAGTGAAACCCTGGTAAAAACGTTGTTAAAGGGTTAAAGAAGAGTGCTGTTGTGAAGACTTCCTGAAGACAGAGTTTCAGAAAGAGCAGGAGTTTCTCAAAAAGAGAGAGGCCCAGTTTCAAGATATTAAATTAGGGAGTCAGATTTTTTTAAAGTCATATAACATCAGAAGGTAACATAGTTACATAAGTGTACCACAAAATGACACTATGTACCTGGAATATATATAACACTTCCTCTTTAAGGCATGTTTGTCGTAACAGATGAGGCCTTCAGAGGCAGTGCTGTCGGGTGAAACCTGTTGGAAGCTAGTAGTTTTCTGTTTGTACGTCACATTAAGAGGTAAAAACAAAAGTACTCATGTCTGTGATGATGGTAAATTCTCCTAAATGGGCTGAAACTTCAGAGAAGAGGCGAGTTAGTTTCTTATGTCTACAGTGTGTGATGTTGTTGACTTGGCAAATAAGTCACATCAAATGGAAAAGTCCATCTGATGCTGGACCAGAGAGTCCAAACAAAACTGGCAGACGAACCTGGACAGAGGTAATGAGCGCCAACGTCTCACTGTGGAGTACGGTGAAAGCTACGTGAAAAGAAGCCGCCGCTGGTCTTTGGGTCCTGCGCGCGGCCGATGCCAGGCAGGCAGCGAGCCGCAGGTCCGGTCTGGCTGGCAGCGGTACGCTGCTCCGCGGTGGTTCTGCTCACAGGCCTGCCGACTGTCTATCTGACTTCAGCATAACTCTGGAGCAAAAACCGCAGTCTGAAAACCGAAAACCTTCCTGCAATTCACAGCCCTCTTCTAATGCGATTTTATTCGTGTAAATGTTTTTATATGTCAAGGTACATACACACAGCCCGGGCCAAATGAGATGTTCACTTTGTGGAAAAGGTGCAGGGACAAAATGATTAATGGTGTAAAAATAAAGAGGATCATCTTATTTGGACAAGATACAAAGTATGCACTTTTTTTTTTTTTTTTTTTACAGAGCATAATCATAACACCAGAGAAAAATCTATATTTAGGACTAAACGTTTTTTGTTCACTTTCACTAGAATTCACTAGGTGGAAATTAAATGTAGTAGAATTTGTCTTAAAAAATGTACAAGTGGAATTGTTTTAGTTTCAGTTTGAATTTTGTTAAAAATTAATTTATTAATTTATTATTTTTCGTTTTAGCTGCATTAAGTGTTCCCTACATGAATGTTATTACATTTTAGGCAAAAAAAAAGTTTTTCTTATTTAAAAAAGGAAATGTATTATTTGTATATTGCATCTTTTAATATATGTCTAATATTGTATAAGAGAAGACTTAAGTTAATTGTAAAATCTGCAGATTGTGCCAATTTTTGATGTAATAATCGACTTATTTATCTGCGTTTTGGCGGCCTGTTAAAACACCAAGCATCATTTTGATGTGTTATTCAGGTAAACATTACTGGTTTATTTATGTTTTACGAGTCCCAGTGCCTGTGTGGCACTAAACCACCACAAACACCCACAAAGAGTCAGCCTTTTTTTTTTTTTTGTTACAACCCGCTGCTCTTTCCCTGCTGTGTGCAACGTCATTTAAAATAACTAATACATCCTATAAAACCCGGCAGCAGTAGCCTGTTTGGATTTACGCAAATAATTAGCTGCAGGCGGTACAATTATATGCTGGAAGAAATATGACCTGCCAGAGTGCATCATAGAAACTAAAGGTAATGACCCTATAATCCTGGCTTTCTGCTCTGCTTCCTGATAAACTGACGGGTTTGCTTGTTTGCTGCAGCATACAGGCCCAGATTTTTTTTTTTTTCTTTGGCGTTTTGGAGAGCGCGCCCAGCAGGGCCATGTTGTTCCTCTGGTCTTGTGAGCTCGGTGGGTGCGTACCTCAGGGATCTGTGGTCTCTACTGACAGCTTTACAGGCAGCCTGCTGGAGGTGCTATGCCAGCACAACAAGGGAGGCCTGCACCCACAGGGGCCGCTCAGACGCTCACACATCCAGCACTCAATAAACATCATTCCTCATTTCCCTGCTGGGAAAAATGAATTATGCATCTAGAAGTTATTGTTTTTTTTATTTTTTATTATTGGTTCTGGATTGTTGTTGAAATTTTGACTAGAGAAGCTAATCTTTTAGTGTCTAGCGATTTGATTTCATTATTTTTTAGGGTCCTGATTTTAAATTCAGAAACCAGTTTTTCTGTTCAAACGGTTTGGAGATTCAGTTTGACATTATGTGACTGAGGGAGGAAAAGATGGAAGCTGCGTTTCCACTGCAAAACTTTGTCTATGTTCCACTAATGTCAAAAAAACTATTTCACAGTTGCGGCGTTTCCATTCAAGAAGAAACACAAAATTAATCGTGAACAAGTTTGTTTACAAACTAAGTAAACAAACCATCCTTTTCTTCATCCTTCACAGTTTGCTCCAGTAATAACCTCCAGTTGTTGATCATGTGATGCGCAGTGTTTACTTTGCAGTTTTGCAATAAAAACTGATTTCAGTACACCCAAATCACCCCACCTCGTCCTAGCACCAAAACTTTTATTGAAAAACTAGTTGTTTTTTTTTTTTAATAAATTGACATTTCCATAAATCATATTTATTTTCACATCAACAGAAACACAGCTAGTGTAAACAAATAGAGCATTTAATTACAACGATTCTACAAAACTCCATCAGTTTATATTTAAACAAAAAGTACATTTGCTGCCTGGCTTTTTCATAAATACAAAATAATTATTCAAAATACACACAGTAGGCGAGAAGGTCTTCTTTAGTGACCTGTCATGAATTGCGGGTTGAAGTGGTGAGGAGAGACGCTGAGAACCCAGGTATGGTGAAGATAATGAATTTAATGGTGAAAATAAAGCTCAGCAGTCCATACAGGCAGCACGGCAGAAACTAGCACACAGCTAAGTACCGGTAGCACCTGAATCACAGGACTAGACACGAGAGCTGACACTACCAGGACTAAACAGTTCTACTGGAGCGCAAGTAACACAAAAACTGAGACGTTAGACAAACCAGGACTTTACAGTTCTACTGGCGAACTACGACAACAAACGACGATAGACAAGGACCCGACGAGGAACACAGACAACAGGTGGGTTTAAATACACACGGGGTAATTAAGGGAACGAGACACACCTGGGGAGCAATCAACGGGGAGGACAGGACAGAGACTCACAGGAACACAGGACTGAACACAGAGAAACTCAAAAATAAACACACAGAAACACGGAACCTAACATGACCGAGTGGATACGTAACACGATTTGCATTATATTTTCAAATAGGAGAAGGTAAGACATACGACACAAACTTGTTTTAACATCTATTTTTGTGCTTTTTTAATAATTTCTTTTTTCTGCACCTCTAATTTTGATGCCACAGATGTTCAGTTTAATCGTTCTTGTAGACCCCATAGTTCTGGCATCGATTAGATAATCAGAAATACTGTGTTGAAAGTCTTTTCTACTAATGAACCAACTGTAGGAGCTGAAGAAATGGTTTTACAAGTAGAAATCAAAAATGGTGTGGGTGTTGGCATTCAGCCGCTCGAGTTCACGATTTCTGCTGCATTCCCGTTTGTCGATGTCAGTGGGAGACCAAAGTTTCTGTCTCTTCTTCTTTGCAAAACATCTCAGACAAAAAGATCAGAAACTTTCAAGTCTTGGCAAAAAAATGCACAGCTGGATTTATGTCTGCACCCTGACATGAGTAGGCTTTGATCCAAACATTTCTATTGTAGTCTAGCAGCATGCTTTATGGTCATCATGGCGGACGGTGAACATTTGCCCCAGACTCTTGACAGGTATACTTCCAGGATTAATGATCCTCTTGGCCAGTCTGTCAGGTTAGATGAACAGCTCTGTCTTGTTAGACTTAATGTTTTATAACCTAACCCGTCTTTAAACCTGAACGACTTCCTCTGTCTGCTGTGTTCCTTAGTTTTTGTGATGTTGCTGTTTACCAAAGTTCTCTAGCAAACCTCTGAGGCCTTCACAGAAAACTTTGATTTATTCTGAGATTGACGTAGATACAGATGGACTCTGTTGACTAACCAGGTAACTTCTAGAAGAAAAGTTGTGATTTATTTTTGGTGTATTGGATGTATGACACATTTTTGAGATTTTTATTGATCTCTATTAGGCCCCACAACAAGCTATGATATTAAAAATCCTATAAAACAATCGCCTTTACAGTGTGTCACCAAATATAACTGGAGACATGGTCAGTGTAGTTTAGGGAAGAAAATTTAAGCCAATATTGACATCCAATATTAATATTGCTGTATATGTAGAGTATTTATCAATGCTCTACATATTTTGTATATTTTGAGATTACAAAAAAAAAAATTGGTCAATAACAATGTGCTAAAAATTGAAAATCATTGGCTGATACCTATATTTGTGCCCATATGTTGTGGTTCCCTATGTGGATATTTCCCATCATAAAAGTAACAATAAAAAACTCAATACATGAAACACGATGATCAAAATACTCCATCATTGTTTTTACAAAACGTAAGCCCACACTGAAAACTAAGTTTGGACAGGTTTGTCCTACGCACTAGATCATTTACGATACTCCTTGGATAAATGTTTATTTTCCTCTGGAGAATCTGGACCTTTAACTTTCATCACTTTGTTTTAAAAGGTGTTTTTGCTGCATCTTTGCGCTTGGTGTTCGCACAAAGCAAAGTTCTTTCTAGATAGTTTCACCATTGACCATATAAATCCACAATTTGACATTTAGAAAATAAATTCATTTAATGGAAACACAGCAGTTTTTCAAAAACTTGTATTTCCATTTTAAAAAGAATGGTACCAGGAGGAGATTTTTTTTGGCCATATTGAAATTATCGTATTTTCCAGACTATAGAGTGCTCCTCACTATAAGCTGCACCCACAAAGTTAAAAAAAAAAAAAAAAAAAAACTATAAACATACAAAAAAAAGCCACACGGGGCTGTAAACCGCCTGGTTCAAAGTGTGGGGAAAAAGTAGCAGCTCACAGTCCGAGAAATACGGTAGTTTATTGAGCAAAATTTCTATGGAAACCCTTTTTTTTTTGCATCAAATGAGTCACATGATCAACAACTGAAAGTTACCACTGGCACAAACCACAAAGAAGACGACGACA